ATTCAAAGTCCATCTACATTGTAGCAAGCCTCAGTACTTCCTTTCCATGACCCAATAATACTTCAATGCATGGGAGCATCACATTTTGTTTATTCTTTAGCCGGGGGAATTTAGATCGTTTCCACTTTGTAACTGTTAAGAATAATGCGCTAAAAACATTTGTGCACAGGTCTTTGTGTGGAAACAAGTTTTCTCTTTTTTATGATTTTGGATTAATATGAGGGCACCTACAGTAGGTTACCTTGTTTGCGTTTGTTAGGGAGAGCCCGGGTTGCTGCTGAGCCCTTCACCCAGGGGGTGTGCCATCCACCCCTACGTTGTGCCCGTCAGGTGGGAATTTACCAAACCACCTCCTCTCCTCCCCCCAGAAATACGTTTTCATTTCTCTTGGAAATACACCTAGGATTAAGTTTGCTGAGTCATAAGGTAACTTCATCTCTGACTTTGAGGGACTGCCGTGTTTTCCAAAGTCACTGCACCATTTTACATTCCCTCCAGCAGCGTGTGACGGTGCCAGAGTCTCCTTCTTCTCTCCAACACTTGCTGTCATCTGTCTTTTTTTTTTTTTTGAGACAGAGTTTCACTCTGTCACCCTGAGTAGAGGACTGTGGCATCACAGCTCACAGAACCTTACTCTTGGACTCAAGTGATCCTCTTGCCTCAGCCTCCTGAGTAGCTGAGACTACAGTTCCCCAACACAATGCCTGGCTACTATTTCTATTTTTAGTAGAGACGGGGGTCTCACTCTTGCTCAGGCTGGTCTCAAACTCCTGAGCTCAGGCGTCCTCCCAGCTCAGCTCCCTGAGTGCTGGGATTACAGGTGTGAGCCAGACGCCCATCCTGTCATCTGCCTTAATGATTACAGCCATCCTCGTGGGTATGAAGTAGAATCTCATTGTTGTTTTAATTTGCATTTCTCTGATGGACCATCTATGTGGAACATCTTTCCTTGTGTTTGTGGATTTGTATATCTTCTTTAGAGAAATGTCTATTTAAATCCATTGCCGATTTTTTTAATTGGGCTTAGTCTTTTTGTTGAGTTATAAGAGCATTTTATATATTCTAGATCAGTGGTTCTCAACCTTCCTAATGCCGCAACCCTTTAATACAGTTCGAGACCTGTCGAGACCCACAGGTTGAGAACTGCTGTTATGGATACAAGTGGCTCATCAGATATATGATTTGTGAAAATTGTTCCCCACTCTGGGAGTCATCTTTTCACTTTCTTGGTAGTGTCTTTTAAAGCATCAAAGTCTTCAATGTTGATAGAATTAATGTATTTTTCATTAATTGCTTGTGCTTTTGATGTCCTCCCCAGAAGCCAGTGTCTCCTCCAGT